GCTTACGTTGTGCATGTCTTGACACCTTGCTCGGCATGCCTTCACATCTACATGCCTCGGTGCCAGGCCTGAATAGATCCTGCACGTGACCCCAAACTTCAAGCTCAGTAACAACAACTGATAAATGGCAGCACTGTAAACTTTTCAGGGCATGGTGCAACGGCGTCTGACAGATTTTTAGTTTTAAAAGGGTGTAAAATGGTAAGACTCTACATGATTAGCGTGAACAAAAATTAACTCAACTTGAAAATGTTTGATCTATTTTGTTCACGTCAAAACACTTGTATTTTTATGTTTTCCTGCCTGTGTTCACAACTTTTCAAGGGAAACATCCATTTTTATCACAAGTTCCATTCAAGTTTCACTATCACAGTGGTGCAAACACGTGCACAATGCTCAATGCAATGAAGCCATACTACACTGGTTCCTGCCACTGTACTCAACAGAACATGCAAGCATACATCTATGTAACTGGCCCCTGGCTGCACACTTACAGCCCATTACTGTCAGTGTCCAGCTCATCAAATGCATCACTGGCACGTTGTTTTTCCCTTTCTTCCTTCAGGATAGCCTGCTGTGCTTCCCATGCTGCTGTGTGAGCATCCTTAGCCTCCTTCTCAGGGATTTCCGCTTCTTGCTTTATCCCTGTGGTTAAAAAAAGCACTACTTGTAAGTTACATGTACGCACACAAAAAATTGCTCATGGGACAAATAGAAACAAGCCTTAAATGACGGCGGGAGAGAAAGAGCAACTTGTTGAGCTGTAACAGATCTGTACAAGGTTTTTCAATTTGTAATGACATGCTGAGCTAATAAGGAAATCACGTAAGTCAGAGCTACATGTACAGGCATATATACAATGTACACTCAGATGTAAAATTCTTAACAACTCAAACAACTCGGACCTCTCCACCAACATGCAAGGACTCCAACATGACTTGAAAAAGAAAAAAAATAATGAAAAATCTCCACCTTGCAAAAAAACACATTCTTTCCTGGTTCGCAGAGATTAATCTTATCACTCGAAATTCCAACAGGAGTTTCAAGACGCTTGAGAGGGGTTACTTCTTTAAATGAAGCTTATTGTCAGTGTTCAAATTTTTCTACAAGTCAAGTCACAAGTTCGTTTTTCCCAAGTCCTAAGTTTCAATTCAGTGTCAGGCGTATCTGACAGTTTCATTTGCTCCACATGTATGCTACTTAATAATAATAATAATAAAGCATTTATAAGG